TAACTAGCTTAGGGTACCAATGCAAACCATAGTAACTAGCCTCTGCCATTGTTAAATATACGAGCTAACAATTAATACTCAATTACAGACATAAGTGCAAATAGGCAATGATCTAATTATAGGTTTTGAAAATCAGGGTAGATTTTTCAGATGAATTATTTTGAATTATTTTAGTAAGCCGAAGGGATATATGTGAGTTCCACATTTTAGTCCCAAAGGGGCTGCGCTAACAAGCTTTTTGTTATGAAATTCAAATCTTGTAAATTTAGCTTTAATAAATTGTCTTGCACTTCTCTAATTGACAAATCTTGATATGCAGTCATGTATACAAATGATAGATTTTGATGCCACTGAACAGGTCGTCCCTGACTGATTGCATACTCAAATGCAACAGATGATTCCACTCTTACTGTAATTTCTTCAATTGATTTGCATGCTGATACGTATGATAAAAAACCTTCTAGTTTAGAATATACCAAAACATAGTGTTGGTTACATTCGAAGATAAGACACATAATTCCTATGAATGGTTTGTCGGATATTTTTTTATCAAGAGAAATTTCAACATTGAGATTTGGATCTTCATATTTCAATTGTCGAATAAATTCATATGAATAGTAGAGAGCTTGATCAGAATCAATATGAACATGAAGATTCGTTACCGAACCCAATAACTCGTGAAGACATTCACTAGTGAAATTTCTAGGACATTTAGGCACATTCTCATATTTACAATCGACATCTTTCCAAAAGCCACTCATATGCTGCTCGGTAAACTCCCGAACAATAGATGAATTGAGAGTTTCAGTTTTATTTTCAACCATACGAGAACTTAAATTTAAACAATCAACGCCTTGTAAATAGTCGGATTTTACACCAAATGAATTTGCCATAGAGTCATTTCGATTGAATTGTTTTCGATCATATCTTCAATTAGACAATACAAATAAAAACGACACTTTCATGCATAATTATCGCAAAAGACAAAGAAAAACAAAAAACAAAAGTTTTCCTTTTTTCTGTATAAATTTTATTTCGAAGTGCTAACATCTTAACGACGAGGGTGCAGTGAAGGGATTGGAGGAAAAGAGGGTGTGGACGGCATCTCGATTCGAAATCGAATTTATAAAAAAAAGGAAAACGCGAGCTTTTCCTCATTTCCTAACTAGACATGAAAGTATCCTTTTTTGGGTTTCGTTTATATTTTCGAACTCAAATTAAGCATCTACTCTCTAAACGATAGTTGAAAGTGCAGGTATTCTTTATCTTTATAAATAAACGACGTAAATATAAATTATCAGTATGACGAGGGCCGTGATCCGCGATGGTGTCTCTGGGATTTTAACTAAAAGTAAATGGGTGTATGTCAGGTCAAGTATTTATATCTCAAATATAAATAAATTAGAGGCTGAGAGCAAACTAATCAAAAATTTTCAGTGGGCGTGGATGTGCGTGCGTCCAAAGAAATTCCCACCTTCATGTACATGTAAAAAACAACTACAATTACGATGGACATACATGCCCACCTTATTCTGGTACTCGCTTCTATCTAGATGAAGCTATAGATACTGCTGATTATATCAGTCAAGCATTTACTGCAGTCATCTGCGATACATACACTATATACTTTTGATTATAAAATTCAGGTGATGTCACAGGAGTGAGTATTGCGATATCATTATGAGTATCTAATAATACAACCATTGATATAATAAACATAGTAGACAATAAAGACCGATACTCGTATTTTTCACGTTTTTCTTGACTGACAGAATAGTCTTCATTAAATTTTACAAAATAAATACATATTAAAAAAACATTTTTTCACTATTAGTATTCAACATAGGTGTAGTTATCGAAAGATTTGGAGAAAAATACCATGAAATTTGCAACCTCAAAGCAGCGCTAGGCGAATGAAATAAGGGAGAAAATGGATCCTGATAGATTGCACACAACATAAAAGGGCATAACCATTGCTAGCTTATGAACAACATAACAGTAGTAAAATAAATTCTTCTATTTTAATAGTGACATAGTCGAATCGGAAATTTTGATTTCAGTCAAAGATCACTCTTTGAGAAAATCCGTTCATATGATTACGCGATATCAGAAAGACTCAATTTTTCTATTAAGGCTATTGAAAGATTGATATTATTTTCTTTAATAATTAAGACGGTAGTTGCGACCGAGAAAATATATCTCATGCATACCTACACCCTCGCCCAAAAATAAATACTATGAAATGAATCGTGATCAGAATATTGTCAGACAACAATTATATTGATAAGAAATATGAAGTTTGATACAATCCAAAGTTGCAATTTATTTGATTACATACAATTGTACAGTATTCAAATGAGTCAATGAAGAGGCAACGAAAATCATAGACACGTGATACTAGTGGTAGACTTTTATTTACAACAGTATGAATTCATAGATCGAAAAAATGTTGAAAAAAATGAAAGAATATAGAACAGCTTTGATAAATAACGTAGAAATTTTGGGGAATGCGTTGGCGTTAGTTTTTTTGCACGTGATGTCGCGGCTCAACTGTTTAAAGGTATGAAGAAAAAGTGTTTTGCTCTTTATTAACGTTTATGAATTGCGGTGTAAATAACGATAAATTATCTTTCGGAACCGTTTGATAGACTCGATGAATGCTTCCCTATACATTTTTGATGGTAAGACAAATAGGACAAATGTCAGCATGGATGGAATGAATGAAATAAAATAACTCACGAGTAGTAGACATGAGTAGTGAGCCGATTTCGCGCAGCCAGAAGCAAAGACAATGACCAGCCTTGGACAAGCTAAAATGGCAAGAATAAATGGACCAATTACACAATGATAGTGCTGCTGAAGTTGTTCACGCAAGTATTGTCTGTATGCTTCTTGAGATTGTGTGTAGGTTCGTTGCTGAGTACACACCACAACAATAAGGAAAGCTGAGATGCAATTGACGACTAAAAGAAGAAAAAAAATGAAAACTATTTACGACATAATTGTAGACTCTGAAATTAGTCGAATATTTGACAATACACCAGATTCGCTGTTCGTCAACATTATTGCCATCAATTAGATGTTGATGAACAGGATCATAAATAGCTGTGTCGATTGGCAATATTAAAACAGCGAATATTGTATATTTAGACACTTTTTTTTCTGTTCTTTTTGTTGAACATGACTCTTTTTACAAATTAATGCTCGTTCGATAGCCACACATGCAACCAACCATCGACCCATGTTGAGGCAAATTTGAAGAAGACAATCAATCGAAATGCACTGAAATGCAAAAACGAACGTTTCATTTTAAATGCCATTTGTGCAACAACAAGTATCCAAAATTTCAGTGCAAAAACAATCGTCGTTAACAGAGTAGTGATAGATGTAGCAAATAGATAAATGCCACTACCGACACACCAAAGCGTTTTGTTCCTAAATGTGATCACAGAAAGAATACCATCAATAAGTCCTGTCATGGTCAGGACTATAGTCGACATGATACTGATTTTTACAACAATTGGCTGATGTACAATGCTAATGTGTGGCAGAATATGATAACCCAAAATACCATCAAGCGAAAGACCGAAACAATTTGAGCTAAATTGGCATAGTCTGCCATAGAAATAGGTAGGACATACACACATCGGATTGTCTTGAAAACATTGAGCACCACTCTCACAACTGCTTTGGCCGAGGCAATTGTGTCTTATCTTATGATTGAAATCTAAACAATTCGCTAAGCGTTGCGGATGATAGTCATAACAAAAACAAAAATGCTTTTTATCGTAGAAACAAGGCAGAGCTGATGAACGCCTTTGACATGGTGCATGATAATACTGAATACGACGAATCATTCGAAATTTGAAGAGAAGTTCTCTATAAAACAGCCATTATATGATGATATAATATTGGGTCTACGAGATAGCTGAGGAGATTCTTAGCTCAAATGCTCGGTGAACAGAAACTAGTGATCAAAATATTGTAAATGAAATAGAATCTATCATATTGTTTTTACATACAAAAACTTGTACACAAAGTTCAAAAAAACGTCTTGAAAGACTTGGTCATCACGAGCGAGATAACATTTGGAAAAAATATGTAGTGTGGACAGTTAATACAGTATGGTACTAAATGTCATTTATCGAAAATGAAACCATATTCAAATGTGTACTTTAATCTTTGTATTTTTGAAATATAAAAAGAATAAAGTTAATATTAAGTTTCCAGAAAAATTTCAAATTCACTTATAGGAAAAATTAAAACATTCATTTTTACTAGAAAATATCCAGCCAAAGTTGAAATTTTTAGTTGTACTAGATGAAATTAATACTTTAAATTTTCCTTCGATACATTCATCTATCATACGACATATATATGCATACTCAACAGTAAATGAGATATTCGTCGCTCTGCTCAAAATATAAACACAAAAATAATGAGCATCACATTTTTTCGAAGCAGTATACCGTAAACTTTTCTGACTAGGAAATTTTATCAAGTGCGCCGCAGTAATCTGTTTCTAACGTACATATCCTAGCATAGCTGTTCGATTTCAGTGCATTACAATATTTTATTTCACAATACCATCGACAAACACAACATGATCACTTTCAACACATTCTAGATTCATTCCAGGGCGAAATTGTTTCATATCAACGAGAAAGTCGAATACATATTGACATAAAATTATATGGATTGGCTATCTAAGTGGCAGATGTTGAACAATAACTGATACTCGTACATTTTTTTACTGATGAGTTTTAGTTATTATGTTATATCTACTGGATTCGTTAATTTGTTTGCTACAGAACGCAAGAAAAAAACATGATGATTTTCAAGTGACGTGCGATGGGGTGGCATAAAAGATAAAGCCATTTACTTGTCAGTGTTGTTCAGATTTGGATCGCATCCAATCACATTTCAACAGATAGATTTTAAGATAATTCCATCCACGCCCTCTCACCGCTTCGAAACTGAATGTCGAATACAAAGGGTTGTAGAACAACAGTAGAGCCAGAAGTCCGAATACTTTTGACGCGTACTACATAATATTCGCAGCAAGCATATAATAAGCTTGACATCGTTGCACAAAAGACAACAACAAGAGCAAAGGTGTGCAGTAGAAGATTAGGTATATGGTAATATGCAAGTAGAAGGAAGATAAGAGTCAACGGTGAATACTATTTTTTTATGCGAAGATAACGCTCCTTCATCGGTATCATACAGCCACTGGTTATTTGAGAGAAGCTTTGTTACTTTATCGATCAAATTATCCAAGGTAGGCATGATAATTTGTCCTGGTATATTTTCTTTAATAAGAGTTTAGCATATTAGTATAGAAGTTCAAAAAAATAGGACGTTAGATTGGTTTACTGATAATGCCTATTGTCAATTTTTTGTTTCACTCTTATATTGATCCTGTCTTGCGATGTATACGATAGAAGGTTAGCTAGTTCTATCGAGCTACTAAATTTGTACTATTCTAATAGCAATACGGCACATCCAATTTCTCTAATAAAACTTGACCATATCTGCAAGTGTTATATAGAACTCGATAACATTCGTTATCATCATCATTGTTGCTACACGAATAGCAAATGATTACTGATCAAGGAGTAAGTGCTGGTACTTAGCACCTCAACACGTACCCAGAACGTCTTGGTGCTAGGTGCCAACACTTACTTCCTTGCTTCAAAAGTAAGTCATTCAAGATTTTGAAAATAATCGCTATTTGCACCGTTTACATCTCATTTTGAGAGGTTGCATAAATCTACGTTGAGTTTTTCAATATTTAAAAGGTGCTCTATTTGAGTTTTAATTCTTAATTGATTTGAACGCATACATTTGAAGATACTGAGTATTCAACTTTTCAATCATAACCATCTGATTGTTTAATCGATATGAAATTGTACGTACATTGTAGAAAATGAATACTATAAGACTTGAACTGGAGCTTTACGTATTCGATACTGGAAAACCAAAAAATACTTTTCTAAAGCATTCTTTTCAATACTCAGTAGAAGTTTTTTGCACTTTCTAACGCGCATAGATTGGACACAAATGATCGTTGGCTATATTGTAGATGACATCATCTATGTCGAAGGCTCCACATGTGGAGATTAAATATACACAGATTTTCATCAACAATGAATGGCACAAAGCAGTGAACCGCAAAACATTTCCTGTCATTAATCCAAGCACAGGCGAAGAGATTTGTCGAGTAGAAGGAGGCACTAAGGTTTGTTTTGGCAACATGTTTTTCTTCATGAACATACTCTTTCAATCTATTGCTATACAGAGTGATATTGACAAGGCAGTAGAAGCTGCTCGAAATGCTTTTCGAATCGATTCAGCATGGCGAAAACTGGAACCATCTGCACGTGGTACTTTGATGCGCAAGTTTGCTGAACTGCTTCGACGAGATATGCATATCTAGCTGTCAGTTTTCATATTAAAAAAAGCAAAGTAGAGAATCTAGCCTTATTATTATTATTATTATAGCAATTGGAAACGCTCAATAACGGTAAAACATTGATAAACAGTAAGATTGATATCATGGGTTCGGCCGCTTGTATCGACTATTGTACGACAGTGTTCTACTTCACTTGCCTTCAATGGATCATTTCTGCTCTTTTTTTTGTAGATGCTGGATGGGTCGATAAATTTACCGGTGAAACGATTCTATCCACACCAGACATGTTTATATATACGCGACATGAACCGGTCGGTGTTTGTGGGCAAATTATTCCATGGTGAGATCAATAATTTGTAGTGAATCAAATATTAAAAATTTTATTTTTATGTTTTAGGAACTATCCGGTGTGATTATTTTATTCAGTGTAAGAATGTTTGATAAATCTTTGTTTTTTCATTTAGATTTTAATGTTAGCCTTGAAATTGGGACCAGCATTGGCTTGTGGTGCGTGAACTTGTTGATTTACTCTCAATTTCATTCGCTGTCTGTTGAATAGGTAATGTGGTCATTTTGAAACCAGCTGAGGAGACACCCCTTACTGCTTTGTACTGTGCTTCTCTAATCAAAGAAGTACATGTCGTATATTTATTTCATATTCATTAAATATTATCTTGTAATCATTCTAGGCTGGCTTTCCACCTGGTGTTGTCAATATTGTGCCAGGTTAATCTATCAACGATTTTTGTTAATAATAATTTGGCATTTTTTGTACCTTTTAGGTGATGGACCTGAATGTGGTCATGCGATTGTTGTTCATGAGGATGTTGACAAAATATCTTTTACAGGTTCAGTTGAAGTAAGTCAATGGATAAAAACACGCAAATAGAGCTACAACTTTTACTATGTAGGTCGGCAAAAAGGTTCAAGAAGGCGCAGCTAAATCAAATCTGAAACGAGTAACACTTGAGCTTGGTAAGTACAGCTAGCGGATCTTCATATGAAACATGATATCTTCATCTTCTTTGAGCATAGGTGGAAAATCTCCACTAATCATCTGTGAAGATGCCGACGGTAAGTACAAGAATAAATCCAATGCAATTCAATGAAGGATCGAAAATTTTAGTTGATTTTGCTGTTTATGTCGCTCATGAAGCGATCTTTCATAATGCAGCACAAAACTGTATTGCTGGATCGCGTACATTTGTGCATTCAAAAATATACGATGAATTCATAGCGAAATCTGTTGCACTAGCAAAGAAGAGAATCGTCGGTGATCCATTCGATCCAAATACTCAGCAAGGTCCACAGGTTAACTAATTAAAAATATTTTACTTCATATAAAAATCGGTCCTTATAGATAAATAACCAGCAATTCGAAAAGATTCTCAACTATATAGAGTTGGGCAAAAAAGCTGGTGCTAAACTCGAATGTTGAGGTGAAAAAGCTTGTGACAAAGGTTACTTCATAAAACCGGCGGTGTTTAGTGATATCAAAGACGATATGAAAATTGCTCGTGAAGAGGTTTTTGAAATTTTGTGTGCGTAAGATTCAATTGAAATTTTCTTAATGTAGATTTTTGGACCAGTGATGTGTGTGCTCAAGTTCGATTCATACGATGAGGTAATCGAACGAGCCAATGCAACGAATTTTGGTTTGGTTGCTGGTGTCATTACAAAAGATTGTAACATACATAGCGTGATAAAATTAACATCATTTATACTATTTGTTTTTTCTCTTTGCTTAGTAACACGAGCTCTGAAATTTGTACAAGAATTACAAGTAGGTTCAGTTTGGGTAAATACTTATGCCGCAATGAAGTTTCAAGCTCCATTTGGTGGTTTCAAACAATCTGGCCAAGGCCGAGAGTTGGGAAAATATGGTCTTGAACCATATTATGAAGTGAAAACAGTTGTGATGAAACTCTTATCAAAGATGTAGTGCGCTTTTAGAGGTTGTGTGTGTGTTGTTTGAAGAGAAACTCTACATTAAAAGCCCCGCCCAAATACCTACTGCCGCTCTCACATCCTCGTTCTGTCCATGTCGATGTTGTCTATTCTAGTAGTATCGAATTAGAATACCAGTGATTTATTTCATGCCGAAAATGTATCCTTCTCGAATGATAAGAATTTTTCAAATTTGAAAAGTATAACGAAGTTATATAGAGAGTATCAGATTTATGTTGATGCATCTTTCAGAAATTACGTTATCATGGTTTTAATGATGCATCATTACCATCGGAGCAACTATTTGCTAATATTATAATCCAATCCGCCAATCACCAGATGGATGAGCCCAGAGGCAGCAGAGCATTGAACCATTGACCAATATAAGTGTAAGATGATGACTCCCGGCGCGAACCTAGAACAACGCCGAGAAGTACGATACAACATCCACATGAGATAGGTAATTTGAATAAATCGACTGCAATGTACCCGCCGTTTCCTCTTGATAAAATGAACCCGTGAACACCTAGGGAACCCAGAAAAAATGATATAACGAAGACTGCCAATTTTGATATTTGGTTATATTCGCAAATGCCTGACATTTCCAATGTTATATATCCTACATTGCATTATCACAATTTTTTCGACAGTAGCCTTGATTTCCGCAATCGTTGTTGATTGTGCACGAAAGATTAACTGTGCGCGGCAATCGTAACTGACGGCGTTGATCTGGATTCGAATTGGGTGCATTTCATGCATCTACAATTGTAGTGGTTGTTGCAAGTATGATCAAAACGAAAACACTATCAATGCTGTGGATATTGGCAGTGCCGTAAAAGAAAAAAACTGAATAAGCATATAATCTCTGAATTCACTTCAAACTTGCCGGCGTATAATTTTTGATAGCATTTTCTTCTTTCTCTTGAAGCGATGTGCTTATAATTCGCTATCATTCATGCATCTTTTATCTCGATGCTTGCTTAATCTTTTTAGCGACTTGTAGTCATGGACGTCTTGCAAAACAGACATAAAGCAACGAACACAATGCGAATGCAAACGAAAGCCTCGAAGACATTTTCACTCGTCAGAGAAGACTGCAATCGAGAGGTCGAAGGGAATGTATATATGGGTACTCTATAAATTCACATCCACGCATTATGGATTGAAAAAGCTGAAAACCACAAGAAAATGTGAATTTTTGTGTAGAAAGTTTTAATCGCTTCTCGTTTTCACCACAGATTTTATCCGCAACGCTTTATCATTCATTCAGTTTTGTAAATAAGCGACTGACTCTATTTTTGGGAATATAACAATAAAAGAAACTGTTTCTGAAAAAAAAAAGACATTTTTAGTAAGAAGAACTGAAAATTCGATGAAAGCAGATGAAAAAAACGTGCTCTTACCAAAATCCTATAATTCATCTAACGATATGAAGTCATTTTTCTGTTCTTTTCCATCATGCGTCACGATAAGAGTCTCTATAAGACAATGGTGAATCACTTTTTGGAGTACTATCAAATAAAAACTAAAAGCAAAAAGATATGAAACACAGCAATTTTCTTATGATCCTCAGAATATACGCATATCATAGTATTCATTTAATAAAAATAGTTATTTCTTTTCGGTTGAGTAATATACCGTTGCACATCACATGTTGTGCCTGTAGGAAAGCAAGCGATAGCTATTTAGTCATAGATGTTGGAAATAAAGGTGAAGAGAATGAAAAATGCTGAAAAAAAATGCGTCAATCATTTCATTTGGATATTTCCAACCTCTATCTAAAAGGAAAAGAACAAAAAATAGTGAATCATTTGTTGCACACTCATATCGAAGTCAAAGCAAATTTCTTCTCATTATAAACTTATTCGAAAGCAATCGTATCCTACTATAATCTGCAAGCTAAATCGATTTGAAGTAGCAATTCGTTTGTGTTTTCTGAATTCAATTCATCAATTTGAGTTGTTCGTTAATAATTACAATATTATTATGTTCGCACTTTGAGAAGAAAATTTCGAATGAATGATCATATGGGTGAGTCATCTACTACAACTAAAACATTTCATTTTGGTTCGGGTCAATTTTTAACATTGAGTGAAGATCAAATTGGAAAAATTCCCTACTTGACTGCATTGGTTTCTGCTGGTCCTAGTTTTGATTCAATCCAACTCAACAAAGGATACTATTTACTTGATTCTCGTATTGACTATCAAGATTTTCAGTTCGCACTTGATTCAATTTCATTTCATTCGATACGGCAAATATTTATTCGTCTACCTAAAAACTATAATACTTTAGCTATTATTGCTCTTTTGGATTTTCTTGCCATCGGACCCGAAAGAGATCCAACTCTCGATGAAGTTAATTCGAGTTTTTTTTGGAATGTCAAATTCGGTGATAAATTAGGTACATATAAATTTATTTACAGCTCATCTCATATTCAAGACATGGCTGTGCGGTTTGCTATTGCTTTGGCAAAAGAAGAATATGATTTTAGAAGCCATCAAGTGATCGATCAAATTTATTGGTTTATCATGTTTATTCTTAGTGCTCACAAATTATTTGAAACACATATTCGTTACCATGTACATAAAATTGCTAAAAATTGCTTTTCTTTGTTTTGTCCATTTTTATTAGAACGTCTATATCGAATTGAAGAGAGAACAGAAAAGGAAATACGAGACAACTCGATCGCAGCAGGTACTCATATCAACTTCCATAAAGAAACTGATGCTTTGTGTAGTTTTAATGTATTCCCCGATGATTGTAGTTGTAATTTTTGGCGCATTGATCCTCTATGTACTGTAAGCCGTTTGGGTTTGACCTTCAAGCGTTGTGTTCCCAATGACATGCTGCGATTCTGGAGATGGCGAAGAAATTCTTTGTTTTTCACTGATTGTCGTAAAATCTCGTACAATAAAGATAAAAATCTCGAAAGACTTTGTGAAAAAGTCTTAGAAAACATGTACAAATGTTTACTAGGTATAGTACTGGACCAAGAGCCAATCAAAAACTGTTATCATAATTTCGCTACTTTTAATGAAGTGAAGTATAAATTGATATTAGACGATATACTGAACTGTAGTACCGTACAAGCTGCAATACAGGAAAACATATTATCAGAAATATGTGAATTGACACCGACATTAGAACGAGCATATGCTGAGTTAATGAAAGAAATACAAGCTTATGAACAAAATCCTACTACAACAACGGAAGACGAAATGTACATTTATCCAAGGTACTTATTTTGGAAAATAGATAAAATTACATTCGAGAGTAAACCAGATCAAGCATTGAAATGTGAACTAACTTTGAACAAGCTGTATCAATATGAATCTATAATTGATGAAATACGAAACACTATACTAGCCGATTTGCATGATCTATTTATGGACGAAATTAAAATATTTGTGAACAGTCGAAGCCGACAATGGTCATTATTTTCATTTCTATTAACTAGTCAAGATAAAAAGACACAAGTTTCGGAATTAAAGAAAACTCATAAAATGAAGTCGGGTGAAAAATATCGACCGTCACCAAAAATTCAATGCAAATATGCAAGACGTTAAATTTTAACAGTTACTCGACGTCGTAATCACACCTGCAAAGCAAAGCTAATATCGACACTTAAATCAATTCGGAATCTTTTGTTTTGAATACGAAAAATAAAGAAGCATGATATCATTAGTAATATGAGGCTGTGGAGAAAGTCATTTATGATTTTGCTCATTGAGCTACTTAGTCAACGAAAAATTTTATAAACGAAAAGCACTATTTGAATGAACAGAACAACAGCAGATAAACATATATCTCGTAGGATCAATATAAAAAGTGTTCCTCAATTTTTTAAAACTTCAACGATATCCTTATTTCAGTTTCTCTTGTATACGGTATGAAAGGTAGGAGTGTGCTTTTAGAGTAGAGCGACAACGAGTGACTTAGCATTTTCATTATACCCTGAAAAACATCAATGTCGTCTAATCTAGTTCATTGTTTTAGTCGTTGAGAATATGATAGTCGGATTACATATGATTCGATCGATTTATCGAACTCTGCTTCTTCCAATATCCGATAGCAGTAAACACAAAATTTGTTGTAATCATTTTGTGTGACAGAAAACTTGATAAAAAGTGACTGATATTGCCGAAAATAATAGGTCTTATGTGTTGATCAAAAAATGTTATATCTTGTCTGAGAAAGATTCAAAGATTAAAGTTTTCCACCTGTCTGATCAAAGATCTTGAGAGCGCAGGTGTAGGTGTTGGTAAGGATAAGAATCACATGCATCCACATTTTAAATGAACGAGTGTATATCTCGACTTCGTTTCCAGTCTCATGATATTTACATATATTTATTCGACTCTATTCCGTACTTGAACAGATCTCAAACAGACAACCTTTTCAGAAGTGACAAAATTGTTTAAAACTCCTTTACACTGCACACATTTAACTTGTGCGCTAAAGAAAACGAATATAAGGTAAAGGTGAAGCGTAGAAAAGTGAAGACTTAAAAGTGAATAATGTTGTGCTTCGTTACGGTAAACTACCATTTGCTACGCATTCATACCAATCTGGATCAATGCTGCATGTATCTTGGGCTAGATTTGTAATGTGCGTCATATCTTCGTCGCTGATTGTGAACGGATTCAAGAAAATATTGAGATTTTCTATCATATGAGTTTCATTCATCGAGCGTGGATTCGATGCAACACCCAGCTGATAAATCCATCGCAACAAAATCTGCGCTTCAGTTCGATTATAGGCTTTGGCTAATGAAACAATAACTGGGTCTTGAAGCAAAGTAGAGGACATACCCGTTGCTTCGTTGTTTTTATGTTCACCTGGAAATCGATGCACATCGGGCACTCCCAGCGGTGAATAGGCTACTAATTGAATATGATTCTTTTGACAAAATGCAAGTAAATCCGCTCGTCCAGTTCGATAATTGTATGGATGAAATGAAACTTGATTGACGCTTGGCAGAGGTAGGCCAGAATCAATGATTTCTTGCAAGTGAGTTATATTATAATTTGATACACCAATTGACCGAGTCAGTCCAATGTTGAATAATAGGAGCATGGCGGACCAAGTCGACAGACGACAATCTTTTTCATTTTATGTAAGTGGGTTAGTAGTATTGCACGCTGGATCAGAACTCTGTGGTATATACGATTGACCGGGATGTTCCATGATCGGCCAATGTACGAGCAACATATCGATCCAACTCGTTTGAAGTTGTTGTAAGATATCCAGTGTTTGCTCAATTGTTTCATTGTAACCCAAAGGGAATATGGGTCCTACTTTGCTCAAAATGAAGATTTGAGATCGATCAACGAGACTTTGATTGATTCCTCGAGCAACATGCCGCTGATTATAGTATGAATTGGCACAGTCAAGTCGAAGCCCACCTGCTTTGCTCAACCACGTATACACCGCTTTCTGAGAATTAAGACCACAACCTGGGGGCGGAGGGAGAACAGAACCTGAAGGGTCATTGTGTGGTTCAGCACCACATTCAGGGTAAGTGCCATAAGCCTGGTTGCCCATACCATAAAAACCAGTGCCAAGACCGAGAGCTGGTATGCAAAGACCAGCTTGAGCAGAATTGAATAAAGGAAATGAAGAAACATCAGTAAATAGAGAAGGTACAGATCGAGAGATGCGAACATTATTAGTATTCGACAGTGAAGGAGTAAAACAACAAGAAACGAAGGGAAACAATAGTAGCAGCTTCATCACCCTATGACAGTATAACTTGAAGCCAAAGTAAAAAGAAGCATGAAAGAATAGCAATAGAGCGCTGTTTTTTGCATACAAAAATATCTTATCTCATGTTGATATTTGCGCATGTGCCGCTCGCAAAAAATGCAGTCATTGGTAAGCTTCAGCAGCAGAAGCGCCTCGAAATCATTCTATGATTCACACATATTTTTAGAAAAAAAAAATTTTCGTACGCAGGGCGTGGGTGGATTCATATACATTACATATCTAACGATACTACTATACTCAAACCCACGCCCTAAGCTCTACAGATCATTAAAAAGATTATTTATTTCTGTTTGAATCTAAATTATTCTACGACTCATATTTATACTAAAAGTTTATTTGTACTATAACACTAATCAATGCAGACAAATAACAATGAGAAAATATTATTAAAAAAAACACCTGAATATATTTTCTTTTAATACGAAATAATTTTTTATGAGGGGTGCTAGAAAACTTTGAAAGTATATGAGATAAAACTTCATGGTAACTATGCATATCTAGAAATAGCGTTTTCGATCGCATGTAGCAATCATCTGAACATTACGCAAGGGACAACTTGGTATGTATGTTCGAATCTAATCGCTCTACTTACACATTTCAAAAGAGACTAGTTCAAATTCAACATTAGTTCTTAATATTGGGTGTCACAAATCCATAGCTATATTTTATTTGTATAACTTTTTGGCGGCCATCAAGATGGTCGCACATTCCTAGTCAATATCTGAAAAAAGACTTGATCGGACACAGCGACAAGACCAAAACGCGGACTAGTCCTTTTGTCCGTCTTTGTTCTCCTGGCCGTTGCAATCTCTAATATAAACACTATCTAAATGATTTGAAGTTTTATATAACCTTATACGACATTCATTTTTCTACTCAACCATAGTATTTATTAGCTCGTAGTCTTTTCGATAATGCTCTCGGAAATAATTCACTCTCAAATTAGATTTATTGCCTATTGACTGTCGTGGGTGTGGGTAAGACTACTTAAGTAATCAATCTCACAATCACAACCATACTCTGAAAATGAACATTATCGACAACCTGCTTATTTTCGATACATGTTTTGTACACACTTCCTTGGAATCATGATCGTATATTAGTATAAGAGATACCAAGCTATATAGAGGATATTTTGAAATTCATATAAGACTCTTTCTTTACTTCCTTTAATTCTTGATGATTTCACGTCATTCAGCCAACGAAAAATTATATGCTTCGTTCGAAACACAATATATACTTTGCTAAATAACATGAAATCTTAAAAAATCGTTTTAACATCGACACGACATGTACGAAACCTGAATATAGCGATGCTGTTTGAAGTGTCAAGTGAAAATTACGGCAATTTTTATTATTCTCTTATCGAGAATAAATATTACTCTTAAAGAATATAAAGGAGTATACGTATGTAACTATAGTGGTCTCCTACTACTGGGCGATATATGAACTATTTTCTACTCATGATAATAACTGTGAAATGTTTTGTAGAAACGATTGGCAGCGTCGTTTTAATACAACTTGTAGTTATAGTAGTGGTACAGTTGGTATTCATCATCATCGTGGTGATTTGTGTCGATGCTAATGGTCTAAGTTCTTTTAAATGATGAAGTAAAACGAGTATTAACTATTAAATTTCGCTTATATTTTAATGTGTGTGACAACAATATTATATCCTTCCTCTCTCGTAATCTTCCCTTCATATTGCTCAGATCTTCTTTCTATTTTCTCTTTCCTTCTGTCTCTCTGCTGCTTGCGAATATAAGTGTGCTTTGTAAATGAATTGTGCGATTAATGATAAGAAGAAGATAAATAAAGCATAATTCCATCAGCACTGATTCTTCTTCTAACAGAAATCGTCACAATATGTTTTGCTCGCTAAATAAATAGTTTTGGTAAGTTTCAGTTTGTGACTGGCGCTGATGTCTTTAGGTTGTATGAGTAGAATCAGAGGATATAATACGGCAGTTGTTGCATCTACCATCTAGACTCATAGTTACCAATTAATTCATAATTAACCTTCGACGCTTCGACTGAATAGTGAAGACTATTCAACTCATGTTTTGTGTTGTTCAATTCACTACTGGCTGCGTCAAATGTATCGAATCTATATACCACAACAATATAATGACCGTTTATCATACTAGCCGGGGATGGCGTAGTGGTTCTATGCATCTGACTCTTAGTCAGATAGGAGATGGTTCGATTCCTTCCCCCGGCTCGGTGTCTTCGGAGTCAATATATACGGTATCGGAAGAATAAACAAAAGGAAGAACAGCAATGCACGCCAACCGCGTCATCACTGCATCGATTTCGATTTTCTTTCTATTCGTTTTCTCTTCCTTGTCATTCTTTCTCTGTTTGTTATCGTAGTCCTATCTGTTGACTTGTTTCGTAAGCGTCCGCAAAAAATTGTACAAAAATCACAAAAAAATGTATGGATGTCACGAATAAAATTCAGCGTAATTAAAAAAAAAAAAAGACCGTTTATCATACTATATTCAGGTTTAAATTATAACGGTAATTCTGGCAAATAAAATCACCGTTGCTAGTGCCTACTTCATCAAATTATCTAATAAAATCCTTTGCTGTGCATTGTAGTAGCTAAAAATATCTTCAACTGTTCTTCAGTTAATAATATTAAGGAAGGTTTTCTTTCAATGAAAAATTTTAGAAATGAAATCGTTCATGCTGAATTAACTATAAGTTAATAAAAATTCATTGCTACCCATGTAAAAGACAGAACATTCAACATATATATGATTTTAATCGATTTTCGGCCTGATAAATTGGTGAAAATCAAGCAATTGTGATTTTTTTGAATAAATGGACGATCAGAATCGTTTTTTTATATAATTGATTAGGAATCATTGCATTCTTCAGTAGAATGGAGTAAAGCCGATTTATAGAAAGCACAATCGACTATTTATGATTTTTTCTTAATTCATTAAAATCAAGCAACACTGCTTAATATCTGCGGTAACCGATTAGGTTTTCGAATCTATTATAATTACTAGGATAATAACCATCGCAAATTAAGTCATCCTGATCATAATCGTGAGTGTGGCTGTGGATATAGTTCTTCTTTACACCCCCACACCTCCATGCTGAATGAGATAAAACAAATATACGTCTATTCTTCAGAAAATATTCATTCGGATTAATAGAAAATGATTAGCATGATAGGAACTGACGATTGATATTCAATTAAAGAAAACTAAAAATGTAGATTTATTTGACTCATGTGAAATATGTGATTTTAGATAGTTTTTATTAAGGAACATATTTAGTTTAATTACAAATTGTGAAACAGAAATGCTGAAATTTCTGTATTTTTCTTTGGCTATTAAGGATAGAGAACGACGAGAGTAGAATTTTAAATAATCAGAATAGCGAATCCTTCTTTAGAAAAGTTACGCGTCAATTCGTTGAAAAATTCGTGGAACAAAATAATGCTCTTTGAAACATATTACCATGTCTCTATGTTTATATAGCACTTGCTCAAGTCTGAAACTCAATGATTCAATTATATGAGAAATGATTTCTTTATCTTTGCTCGATACCATTACAACGTGGGAACAGCAGAATCCAGTCCATTGGATTCAAGTGGATTCAAGCGGATTCAAATGGAATCACATGACGTAAAATGATTTCCTATTTATTTGAAATCCATTATAAAAATTCAATGCTTCTATTTTTTCTGTTTGTATCGTGCGTACTAATAGGTAATTTTTTTTATTAGTCTTGATTCGGATACAAGCATACATTATCCTTTTTTTCTCATACAGCACATTCTTTATTTCAAGAATTGAAAGTCAGTAAAGCGCTGTTCACCTATTGAAAATAAATGAAAAAAGTATAATATAAAGAAAAAAACAATCAACTTTTTTTTATTAATCTGTTGTGCTCGAAGTAGAGCCCATCGGGTCCAAGAATTTTGGACCCGGACCCGGTACATCAAGAGCCTTTGAAACTATGATAGAATTATTCAAATTTAGGTAAACCCCTACCATATGAGTAGATCAACCAAATTGTATCACGCAAAAGCTATCAGAAGTTTGAAAAATGGTGTTCTTATAGGAAACAGATTAGTTTGTTGGGAGGGGCTTTCTATTGTGGGAGGAGGTTTAGCGTACCTCAACTTTAATCTTTAAATTTAAAGCTAAAACAAGCATTTCTTTAAGTTTAACTTTCTAAAAAATCAAAATTTAAAAAATATTTTCAGAATATCTTTCTTTTGTTAAAATTATTTTTAGATGAAACAAATAGTTCTGAACAGAAAATTTCTTTCAATGAAAGAATCTATTTGAACTTTAACTCTTTGGAATGCAAATTTTGATCATGCTTTTTCAACTTGAAAGTAAAGTTAAGCTGGCATTGTTGACAAATACCTTGTTTATGAATCAAAAATAGATCTGGAACAAAACATACTCTTAAACTTGTAATCAAATTTTCTAATTGAATCTGGTGATCGTTCCGAAGACACGGCATACTTCTGTCCTTTTCTGTCATGCAAGTAATACATCTTACACGCTCTTTCAACTATCCGATAAAGAGTTTTTAACAATTAATTTATAATGGGCTCTGACTCCTAGCGGCTCCCTAGTAGTGTGCAGCTTCGGATGGAATAAGGAATGAATGTATTAAAGTGTTCATATTGTTTCTTAACTTAGACAACTTCAACTTCAACAACATCAGCTTCGTTTTCACTCAATTATATGCATAAGAAGCTTCTTGTGATCTGACCCAATAGCTAAAAATATTTTTAGTCTGGATCCGGGACCGGATCCGATGGACTCTAACTCGAAGCAGTCGATCGTTTGACATTTTACTTTTTTCACTAGTTAATAACCAGCAAGCAGTCTGTTTGTATATATTTTATATCATCATTGATTGTAGCTTTAAAATAAGAATGTTCTATGCGTGGATGCACCATATTAAAAATTTTCATTCCAGAAAATTCTTCTTTTGTTGTATTTATTAAATCTTGAGTATCATCTTGTTCATCTTCATTATCGTAATCATCAATTGAGGAAAGCCATCATTAATACTAAGATCAGCTGCTGTTCTATTATCTTCATCATTATCACCATCATCAACAAATAATCAGCAGCCATTGACCACATCAGATAATGTACTTCAACAAATTGCATCACCAAATTTGATACCTATTATAGTACCATCAGATACAATACAATCGAATTCAACTTTAATCACAGTATTTTCTATATCCAAATCAACAGGAGATGAAACTTGTGATATTAACATTGTCGAACAACCGCCATCAATAAAAACTAAAATACAGGTGAAAAGAAAAGTTCAAACAATAGAATCTTCACTTGACACAAGAGAATCAGCAAAAAGAACAAGAAGAAGATAATTTTTATATGCCGAACACTGTCTTGTTTGTACTTCATAGATTACTTCTTTCGTGTTCTCTTCTATGCTAAGGTTTTATATTAAATTGATGTATTTAATTTAATAATTCACTTATTTTTTTTTCTTTTATACATGTAGTTAATCGGTTCTATCAAGTATTGAGTTTTTATATTTTTATGTCCGTTTGATTTGCTTTTACATTTCACAGTTGGTTTTTAAACAAATAAATCATATAAATATTGATAATAAAAAAACTTTTTAATATAAATATTTCTTGATTGATTCCTGAAGTCTTCGCAAATATTCTTTTTGTTAAATTTTTTTCTACTTTCAACAGAGAACTGAGAAAATGAAAACTATCCTATTTTTATAATTCTAAGAATTTCAATCAGAGTGGATTCAGGTGGATTCATGGATTCATGGATTTTGCTGTTTCCCTCTTGCACCATTATCAATGACGCAAGCATTCAATTCTATATAATCACTTTGTAGTTGAATACCATTTTCCCTTTGCTTTCGAATGATCAATATCCTATTTGAATATAGACTGTTTTCTAAGAATGTTTAATTCACATTGACAAAAAGATATTACTAGTGATCAATTATCAGTTCTGGATTTGCTGCTTTTCGAAGAATTATGTATAAAAATATATGGTAAAAACAAATTATCACAACGAGTTTTGCCAGATGTTAATAATACATCTGATCCATAGACATGACATATGGATGACATCTTTATTTTTTATATTTTCCAAGTGTAGCACACGCACAAAACGTATTTGATTGCTCGATGCGAGATACTAATCGAGTTTTTTTCATTCATCCTCTCATCGGAGTAGAGCGGAGGACAAGTTCTGTTTTGTCTTTGTTTTTCTTCTGCATATTTGCATGACTTCGGTCGTAAAGCGGTTTGTTTTTTTCTTTCTGTCTACACTAGCGCAGTGTCATTAGAAATAATTTATAGGATAGAGTTTTTCAAGTTGATAACTATTTTTGTAATTAATTATGGAATTTTTTGAAAACGAAAATTCTGAATTTATATAATATTTGAATTTATTTTATTTTATGAGTAGATAAAAGTGACTTTTGAAGAATGACATCGTTCGTAAATCCTACAATTCATATAGAAACTGACAGCTTTGAATGTAATGACCACGGTTTACTTGAGATCAAATGTTTGAGACAAAGTCAGATAATATTTTCAAAAATATAAATGAAAAAATAAGATAATTCATATGACTGATTGTGTAGATGGAATATATGATTATACTATTTTTTGTCAAGAAGAAAAACGAGCATCAAAGCATGTAGTAAATAAATATTTTCGTTCCATGTATTGCTTGATGATATGTTTTTAGCCTCTAGTCAACTCGCAGTATATATAAAACATGATGTCTTTTGCTTTTGAATAAATATTAGAGTATTATTAATGTCACATAAAAAGAATACTCGATAAAATAAAACTAAATATACATTGACTTTGTATCTAAAAACAAAAATCTTATCATATTACATCATTTTTTATCAAATATCCTATTTAATGAGCATTCTGTTTGCAGATAGTCACCAAAAAAAAACACAAACTACAACAGCATTCATTTTGAAACTTCAATTTTAATTATTTAAATAGATGGCTTCACATTACCTAAATTTTCCAAAATCTTGTGGTATAGCTGCCTTTAGTGTCAGCCTTTGGATGTTGGGTGTAATCCTGATTCGCTATTTTGGACCGTATTGGTTTCGTACAAATTTTGGAAGAAATGTTTCGATGGCTTCTACTGTTCCTTTTTCGTATATTTCAATATATATTGCGGAAATAATGTTTTCTCTTCATTCACACGAAATATTAGCCGCAGTAGCATTAGGCACTGGTATTGCAAGCATTTTAGATGGCATGGCTCACGCATGGTATCCAAGTGCCTATGAAAATCCATCATTGCAAAAAACAAATCCGCATGCAGCATGTTGCATTTCAAGATATGGATCTGGTTGGTTACTTTTTTTTGTCGGCATTATTCTGACAATGGCTGTATTCATATAATAGCTAGACTCGTTAAAGCACATTTATCTTCTATGCTTCTTATATACTAGTATTCCTCTAAGATTATACATGCGTTCAATACTTCAATGAATTAAAGTGTCGCTCTCTACCCATCTTGTTTAGTATTCGTCGTAATTTGCTGAATTATATTAAAAAATAAATTAATCATGCTTGTAGTTTTTCAATTCATTCAAAATTTAAAGTTCTCAGGTCGTTCATTCCTACAATAGGATCCAATCAGATCTGAAAATCGGTTGCATCGGATCTTACATAAAAACCGACAAGAACCAACAGATTTCGTCGGATTCCGGGTTTCGGGGCGAAATTCGGGTCCGTAGGATCGGAATCCGATACTATCCGATCGTATCCTACTCTGTGATCCGATGCGCCAAAAAAGTCTGCTATACTCAACTTCTAAAAAGCTCTTTTGCACTAAATAGAATTTTGATATTTTTTAAAATCTTCCGTCGGATCCGTCACAATTCCGAAACCTAGAATCCAACTGGATTTTCTCGGTTAGTAGGATGTTTTAGGATTCGATAGAATCTGTCGTCGGATTAGTCGACCTGGGAATGACTATGAGCCAACTTTTATTCTTATCTCTTACATTTTTTATACCGATAACGTCACATGTTTTCTAATCAGAATAATATTCAGTCCAAGTGTAACCACAGCCGGTAGATAGATACTTGGTAGATCATTCCAAAATATTCCCATTCTCAGTCGTCCGCTTACAACTTCATGAATGTGTACGGACATATGAAACATGTAAAACAAGGTGTTCATTGTAAATAGAGGTAGACGAAATTCAATAAAGTAGAAACCACCAGCCAGTAGGCCAAAACCGAGCACAAGAAAAGTACAACCAATATCACGAATGAAATGAATATTCAGCGGGCTGGGTTCAGGAACGCCAACTGGCAGATTGTAATACCAATGTTCAGGTGCAATCAACATCCATACTGCACTCAGAATGTTAATCAAACCAATCACATAGCAGATGACAGTCCATCGATCATGTAGGTTACCAGATTTTATCTTAGCTACTCTGTTGGTACGTGTTGGCGAAAACAGGGATTGATCACTTAATGATCGTCTATTCATTTTTGCACTGAAAAAAGTGGCTTGAATTATATGCACTTTATTCGCCAATAAATTTCTACATTATTTCATGCTTTGCAAGTGAGAGCACATACGAAAAAAAATGTGAGTAAATGTCACTGTATATCCTTCTGGATAATATGTTAAAGGACAGAAAAGATAAAATATGTGCTGTTCATCATCATACATCCAGTAAAACGAACAGGAAAAGATTAACGAAATATAAAAGAGTATGTCGAGAGTGCGTAAATATGTTCTTCAAGGAGGCAACAATGTGGCTTCAAATAACATTAACAACAAATTTAATCAAGGAGGAAACGGCGGATTCCGGATTTCTAAGATTCCCGAGATTCCCGGAATCCCATGGATTCTCGGAACTTGTATAATAACGAATGACATTCCAGAAATTCGTATTTAACCTCTATGATCTTCACTCTAGTTCCGAAAATCTCATAGAGCTCAGTGCTAAGGCACCACTGCTTTATCAAATG